CGCTCTTCCATGCCTCCCATTTCCCATCTATGAAACAGGAAGGATCATATATCAGCAATGGCAAAAGTTTGATGAATGAGGCACTTTGAAATGTGGTATCTGCATAATATTTATTAGAGAAAAAGCAGATAGATGCAAGATGTTGTTTCCTCTTACTATTTCCTGTAGTGGAAGGATATGATAAATTTTTTTTTCAAGTATTAGAAATATTTAAATATAGAATGCTGTAATATAATAGTGTAAAGGCTCTTCAGGGTGTGTTTTATTGGGCCATTAATACATGTCTTGAATGGTTGAAGGCACCCAAGGCGTGTATTAATGGAACAATAAAATACACTGTTGTCTCTTCATGCTATATTTATGCCTAGAGCGATGCCACCACCTCAGGCTCTTGCTGGAATTCACAGGCAAAGCAGGGACAGATCCAATCAAAAAGTGGACAAGTGAATATTAAGGAAAATCTAATACTGCAAGAAGGGTTTCTAGCAATTCTTTAAGTCCCACTTCTTGCACTATATTACCAGTATAGTGGATATACCCATGCAGTAGAGAGCAGCGTTGGGCAGGAGCAGGACAGCAGTACTCTCTTCTGAGTCTGTGCTGACCCTGACACATTGCCAATGTGCTGAGTATGCAGCAATACACAGAGACTTTGTCTTTTGGCTACAGCCCCAAAATGGATTTTGCCTGATGGTGAACCCCTCTGCTGATTGATGTTTTCTGGAAGAGAGGGAGCTGCATCACTGCTAGTCTGAATGAATGCTAGTACATTTACCATCCTGCGAATCACAACAGTCAGCCTCTCCTTTCTACCCCCTTGTGAGGCATTTCGAAGCACCCTGAAAGGCTGCCAGCTGCACCTCTGGGTGGTGCTGACCCTGAGCCACGCACGATCAGAAACGCTCTGCACAGGCACAGGGTGCTATCATCACTTCCACGGGGAGTTTTGCATGCTGCACAGGCACTAGTGAGAAGCAATTAGGGAAAATTTAGTGCATAAATCATGAGTGAAACCTGCGTTCCCTCTGTGGCCCTGACCGTGAGTAAGCTCCATCTGCAGCCCCTGGCTGCATCAAACACTGGAGTTGTTCAATGGGGAGGACCAGCTTGTCAGTCTCTGAGTCATCTCAACATCTCAGAAGCCTTCTAGCTGCCTGGACCAAGACAAAAGAGCTCAAGGACTGAAAGCATTGATAGAAAGAAAGGAAAATACATGGCAAACAAATAAAGCAGTGTTTCTCCTATTAGGAGCACAGCAGGATGTGCCATGTGCTACTGTGTACCAGTCCCTGAGCCTTGAGAAAAGTAGCTCAGCTTTTCTGGGGAATGGGCACAGCACATAATTAATGTTTGTCTCTCTCATTAGCCTAGTCAGGGCAATTGCTAAACAAACCTCCAGATCCCAAGGCATCCACTGCTACTCAGCTTCAATTCATTCCCATTGTAGACTAGACACTGGGAATATGCTGCACAGATACCTTCGGGAGAAAAAGCCTCCGAAGAGAAGCTGGACAACAAAAAACTGTAGGATAACACAGCGTCACTCTGAGCATGTGGGTGGTGCTGGAAGGGGATACGCTGCTGCTGCATGCGCTAGGCCACAGCAGGGACATGAATATCAGGTCTGAGAACAGTGGACTGGTGCTGCTCAGACTCCGGGACAAAGCAAAGCTAAGCCAAGCTGGCCACAGTGTCTATGGGGCCCAGGTACAGAAATCCCCCCTGGGGCCATTTTCTCCCCTTAAAGACCAGCAAACACTTTGTTTCTTACAATTGCCTGGTATTCCCTCAAAGCTTCCTCATTACAGACTGCAGAATGCACCTGCATTCTTGACAGAACAGCTCTCAGTCTGAAGGGACTGAGAAGAAGAAACCCCTATAACTCCTGGGGTTGTTGGTTTTTTGTTTTTTAATTTAATTGCAAAAACAATCTGGGAAGTCTTTATGTTGGAACTGTCTCCCTGAGAGCTGTGAGAGGCTGACAACTGCTAGGAGGCTGATACCTTTGAGGAAACAAAGTCTTTCTAAGCCCCTAGGGCTGGCATACCCCATGCTCCCAAAAACAAAGATGCTCCTTAGTAGCTTCAGGCTTGATTTTTAAAAAGGGAAATAGACTTGAAATTTTAGCAAAACAGGAAGATAAAACAGATTCATACCTTTCTTGCTTACTAGATCCAGGGAAGAGCAGAAACAGAAGAAAGGAGATGATCACTGACACAGAAAGGCACTGACTGCACATTGAACAGCAGAGCTCCATTTAATCAGACAACGCCAGCTCCCTTCCCAGTGCTACAGATACATATGTAAATAGAGAGTCCAGGAGGAGCAGAACCTTGGAGCTGAGCTGATAGAGAATGACCTACTGTAATTGAACAGGCTACACGAACACATGCAAATGCAACCTGTGGCTCCTTGGGAGGACTAACAATCATCTCACACTACAGTTACAGCCTTAGCAGGACTGCTCTGCTATGCAAAAGCAGGTGGCTGCTTCAGCAGGGTGCACAGACTGTGGACAGTCCTGATCCTGTAGGCAGGACTGAGAGTCCTCAAGAAGAGAGCTCCTATTCTGATTTCAGCCTGTCCCATTCATGCCCTGTTCTCACCGACAAGACCATGTTCCTCAGTCAACATTCACAGTAGTGGGGGCACCTGCCAGAGATCAAGCAGGCAATTTCCACAGAAAACCCATACTAGAGAAGTGCCCAAGACTGTAAATCCAAGCTGTGAGACCAGAAAGCGGTCAGATTTGCTTTAGGGACAAAGCTGCTCTCCTCTGTCCCACTGCTCATGTGCTTCCAGAATCCACAGCAGCTCTGTGCCCTGGGGCTGATATTAATTACCTACTGCATATCCAGCCCTTCTGCTCTTTTTATAAAGCAGCATTTTGCTTGTGCCAGGTGGAGACCTTCCTCCTCCCCATGACCATCAAGAACTATCTATCAGAGCACCCCATATCTGAAGGCTACAAGGAGGGTCTTGAAGGTGCTACATCCTGTAGTGCTCATAACATAACTGCTACGTCCTGGACTGGATCTCACCTTTTGAAGAGGAGTATAGCAATGACAATGATGATGATTAATATCACGGCCAGGACGGGTCCCATCACCCACAGCATCTCCGGCTCATCCTGCTGCTTCGCTGAAGCCACTTCCATCACAATCTCATCCGAGTAGGGGCTGGCTGCGTATCTCTTCTGAACGGCACCGGCAGGAGAGGGAGAGAAAAGCAAACATCCATTATGCTAAAGCAACAGCTACATCCCTGAAATGCGGAGGTTTCCCCTCGCCTCTGTCTAGCAGGGTATGGTCATGCTTCTCAAACCCCAGCAGCACACCACAGGATCCTCCCTCCCTCGGCATCACCAGCCTCTTCCTGCTGTGAAACATTCCCAGTGCCAGCAACTTCCTGGCTAGCAGACCTGGCCTCGAGGTGCCAAACTGGAGCAGCCCAGCTAAAAGCCACTTGCCAGCCCTGGATTCTCTCTGAGCCAAATCACAAGCTTTTGAATCCCAACCAATTGCACAGTGGGGCTGGCTGATGATTCCTAAGTGGTTTGTAATACCTGCTGTGCTGATATCAACACATCTCTCCAGGACAAGGCTATATTAGGAAAACCCCTGCTGGGCTACGCGGTTTTCTTAAAGGAATGAAATGACAGGAACATTTTCTACCTGATGTCTCAGCCCTGATAAACAGACCTTGGAAAGGGGCTCATGCTTACAGGTTCCTTTCCAGAGACTTCTGCAATCTGGCAGCCCAGTGATTTATAACCCGAAAGGACAGTTTTCTAGTCCCACCAGCAAGACGGGATTAGCAGACACCCAAACCCTTCCTGCAGAAAAATGACACTGCACCTGGCTTGTTCTGCTGCTGCTGCTACGGCTTGTGGAGCGGTGTTGTCCCTTCACAGCTCAGCCTTGCTGGGTCAGAAGGGTTAAGTGCTGCAAAAAGCAATCCTTTCCCCCTGTTAGAGAGGGCCAGAGCTGTATCAGTTCAGTGCCTGTGGCTTTTGAGCAGCACCTGCTACCCGGCATTAGGGAGGCAGAAATGCTCTGCCCCTGCCATTGAAAGGTTCGGTCACTGAAGAGAGGTGCCTGTGGATCTATAAATCGCCTGATTTAAGGTTGAAGTTTAAACACGCACTTCATGTCTGCATGCATGTGAAGAGAAGAAAGGGAAAAATCAAGCATGCTGATGTCACATAAATGCACATCATGATCTCCTCTCACAGGTGCCCTTGATCCCAGCCAGCCTGATTTCAAACATCCATGGAGTACAGAAAATGCTCTTATCTGTGACATCCTTCTGGCAGCATGTGCAGGTGCAGCATCCTAGCTGCTCTCCTCAGACTTATCAGAGGTTAGAGATGCCATTAGCTGGAAGGGGAGCATGGGGGCTGGTTGCTGCTTGAAACCTTTCAGCCCTCCGAGACCCTGTTTCAATGACCCTGAAATAGCTGCTGGCCCCCGGTTCAGCTCTGTTCCTAGAGAAAATCTGCATGGGATCACTACAACCTATTGACCTGTTTCTACGACCCCTTGTCCAGATCTAACAACAGGGCAGGGAGTCAGCAACAGCTCTTTCTGAGCATGGCAGAGACAAGAAGATGTTACATCGGTGGTGAGAGGATGGGGCAGAAGGCCTGGGGCTCCCCTTTGTATGGGCAAGTGGCTACTCTGTGAGGAAGGTGCAAAGGCTTTGCTTGTGACTACCCAGAATGGTCAAGCTGCATGATGGGGGGGAGCATGCTGCTCTGTGCAGCAAGGTAACACGTGTCCATCTCCAAAGCTTTGTGCAAGGGGCAGAGATTCATATTTTTGCAGACACACTTTGGGGATGCCTCCTTCCAAAAGAAGACAGAAGCAGAAGAGATCAGAAGGACTCATTGTCTATCTCAGTGTCATTTCCAAAGGCAGACTGCAAGGTGCAGGTGCTCCTGCTCACAGAGATGGTGTTTCAACCACACTCCCCTTTGCCTTTGAGGAATGGTGATGTTAGCTTACCTGCTGACACTAGAGACACAGCAAGCAATTTAAGAGGAGCTTTGTGGGGGAGATAGTGCACAGCCCTGAACAGAGTGCTTCATGCTTCAAAGGAAAATGGGTGCGACACAGTGGAGGATGCAGGAAGGTGGTCCCTAGGAGCAGGGTGTAATAACTCTGCTGGCTGCTGGCTCACTGCAGGGCTGTGGCAGATCTATGCTACAGAGGAGATGATGATGATAGTCTGGGATCAACTAGTAAAGGTCATCTCTTCTTGACAGGGATTGCCAAGATAGCACATCCCAAGGCCTGTGCCTTACCTTGCAGTTTATCTGTGACTCTCCTTTCCTTACCAGTGTGCTCATCTTGCCACAAGAACACGTGAGCTGGATGAGTAATGAAGAACTTGACCAGCCCTAATGAGCCATTACAAGCAAATGAGGCTGAAGAAGGAAGCCACAGCTTGGAAGCCGACCAAAGGATTCTGTGCATCTCTATTATTTACATTATTTACACACTGGCCGCTGCTACTGCCGCCACCACCACTCACACCCTTCGTGTTTACAGCTGGACGCTGATGCACAGCTCTCGCCGTGCTGCTCCCTGCTTACTGCATCAGCTACTCCCTTCCCCCTCATGTGCCCAGGCCCCGTGTGCATGGCGACACACTGCTGACAAAGGCATGGCCCATTTGCCTCTAGCAAGGACAGGCACAGGGGCAAGAATGCTGCAGGCACATGCACAGCTTTGCCCTGCCGACAACCCATTGTGATGGGAGGTAGGTTTGTTTGCTTCTCCAGACATCATCTGGAGCTGAGATTCTGGCCAGAGAGGGCCCTGTGAAGGCAGGTTTGCAGGGGGAGCATCCTGTTCACTGCAGAGCCTCAGCAGCCACTGTGCAGGGTAGGATTTCACAGGGCCGTTTTCCACAGTCGCTTACTTGAACTAAAACAGAATGAGAACCTATCCCAACCATGTGTCAAGCTCTTCTCTGGGCACAGCCCAGCAAGCCACAACTGAGCTTGTGTAGAACGCATGTGTTGACACTGCCCTCCACTCTCATCTGTTATGTCAAACATACGTGCCATTTCCCTCTAAAAACATCATCTATCAAGTCAACTCCCACAGCTGCCTGAGGCTGTTGAGACCAGCTATGCAGCCTCACTCTCCTCTCTTCAGAGGAAACTCCATCATCCCGGCTCGCAATAATTGTTCACCCTGCCTACACTGAGCCCACCTCAGCTCTGCTAGGACAGACTGTGCCCCCCCAGCAGAAAGTCCTTACCGTGTCTCCATCCTCCAGTGAGGCCAGCACGAAGCAGCGATAGCTCAGGTCTTGAGACAGGGGCTTGTTGTAGAAACCTTTGTAGTTCTTCTCGTCCCCCAGGGTGAAGGTCTCAGGCAGCACATCCACTTGAGCTGCAATGTAGGGCTTGAGTCTGTCTGCTTGGCGTCGCTGGCGCCTGCTCTGATTCCCTTGGCTTATGGCCTCCAGCAGCTGGGGACAAACAAGGTGCATCACTATTGCTTCGCCCAGCGTGACACCGCCTTATGCTGTCACCTTACTGGTTGTAGGACTCAGCAGGGTGGAAGGGAAGGGAAGGGAGGAGAAGATACTGGGTTTGATTTGGATGTGGTAGTACAAAAAACCCAACCCAGCGGGTGTGTTATCTGTTTGGGCATTGCTGGGGCACCTGTCTGCAGACCCTCACTGCAAGCACCTCTTGCCAGGAGCTCAGTTTTGGGAGAGTCCTGAGCCCTGGGATGCTGACGTGGTGAATGTTAGGGCTAAGACAGCCTAGCTGTGCCTGTCACCCCGAGTTAATGCATCCCAATAGGCTGCAAGGGAACTGGGACATGTTCTGAGGCCCAAATATTGGTATGGACAGCAACTCACGCTCTTTATGGACACTGGACGGGAATTACAGCTGACGCTGATGTACAGGGAAAAAACATTTGCTGTGTCTTTCCCTTCTGTCAGTGCTTTGATATTTCACCTGCTGCTGGGTTGCAGGAAGAGCTTTGTGTAAATCACACAGAGTAACAGATTTCATGGGATGTTCAGGCACATTTCATAGTCGGCCACAAATTCATGAAAAAGGATATAAACACACAAAAATTCAATTACACTGCTAAGACAGACTCTCAGACACTTAAAGATGTTTTTCTAATGAATAAAAACAAATACCAGGCTTGGAACAGAAATTCTAATTTAAAATGAAGAAGGAGGCATGAAATACATTTCACACACGAATGTATAAGTGCAGCATTGCCAGGGCAGACAGGGAACGTCAGTGGGGCTGGGGACAGTTATGTGCACACAAAACCATGTTGCTGAGCTGAGCTCACTCCCTCTGAGGAGGAAAAATTGGTTAGGGCACCCTTTGCTCTTTCCCCGCAAGAGTCCATCCTTGCCCTCTTATGAATACTCATACTGGAGCAATTTAGGAAAGCTATAGCTTGTCATTGCAATATCACAAAAAAAAAAAAAAAAAAAAGGATGGAGAAATCTCGGTTTCACAAATATCCTTGTAACTGCAGGGGGAAAAGGCAGAAGGATAGTCTTTGGACTGTGGAATTTGGTCCTTACACACCTCTCTTGTACCTTGGCTGAAATTACAGTTAAGCTCTTTGGGGCAGAAAGCACAGCTGTATGTGCCCGAGACCACAGGGGTCCAGTTGTGATTGAGGTTGCTGGATGCCACTGCCACCTATATATGTAACACACACTGAAAAAGACCGCACCAAAAGAAATGCTAGGCTTGCAAAGTTCAGATCCTGAAAAATCAGAAAATTAATATTGCCTGTGCAAAATTAATTCAGCTGCCTTATGTATGTGTGTTGTGTTACAATCCTTGACTGCATGGTCACAGACTATCTTTTCTGTAACTCCCCTGCTTTGTTCAATACACAGAACAGACAGTGCTTAATCAAAGAGCAGCTATTCCATATTTCGTTTTCTTATTTGCATTATGCAGCCCGAGGCCTTGTTTATTGCTTACTATTCAAATCCAGTCCTGAAAACAAAATTAATAATATCCTCATAGGCTTTTCTATGGTGCCGATCACTACAATATTACAAGTGCTTCACAAACATTAACAATCTTATCTTCCAAACACCCATATGAGGTGAGATGAAAGCGATTATCCTAATTTTACAGATGGAGAACAGAGACGCAGGGACATTAATGTAAAAAATGTCCACTAATTTTGAATGTCAAATTGAAAAGACATCAGCTTGTTTTGTTTTTAAAGAAAACTTAGCTTTCTTGTTTTTTTTATAGCACTGACTGTATCCAGCAGAGCTCCTATTGACTTTCTCTGCAGCTGGGGATGCTTAGTCTCTGCAAATGAGGCTCCAGGATCTCAAACTGAGCACTCCAAAAAACCAGAATGTGCAAGACAGTGGCTGCTAATGAAAATTTTGTTTTAAATCATTTGCCTGGGACTGGGTTAAACAGAGATAGAAACCAGTTCTTTCAATAGCTTTCAACCACCTAAAGCTCAAAACCAAACCATCCTTTCTCATCCTAGTCTTCTATTTCTTGTGACATCTTCCAACTTCTGCAATGCAATGATGCAGGAGACCTACAGATGATCGTTCTCCATCACACAGTTGTGCTTCATGTGCAGAACAAATCCACCGATACACGGCACGAGCTGGGACCCCATGGAAAAGACTGTGCAATCATGTAATGTAATATTAATGATAAGCAAGGGCTGACTTACAGCTTCTAACACTTCGTAATTGCTGAGTGCTTCAAGCTTGCAACTCTGTTCTCTTAATGGACCCTTCTGTGTGATTTCTTGGAATTTTTCCGTATTACTTTGGGGGGGTGTGGTGTGTGTGAGGAAGAAAAAGCCCACAAACTCCTTGTGTAGGACTCTTCTGATGCCTGCAAATGTATTGCGCTACTTGTGTTGGGAGGACTCCTGCACAGCATAAGCTGCATCTTGGGGTGAATGGGCTGGCAAATGCTGAAAGTCTTTAACAAGCAAGCATGAAGGGAGCTTTGCAGGTTTTGTTAGATACTAGAGTGAACTCTTTATCCAAACTGTGGGCTTAGGTCCTATCCAGAGAGGGAAAAGCCTCCTGACAGAACAGCCTAATAAACTGAAAACAATACCTTTCTCTCTTAGTTTGTTTTCAAAATCAGCCTGGTTGCTTCCGCTGAAAAAGGCTGCAAACAGCGTACAACCCGAGACAGGATCTGTCCTGGTCAGAACTCTGAGACACTCAAGTGTGGTCTCCCAATGGGGCACATTTGGGGAGGTGGCTCCTCTCTTGCTTGACTCTAGCCTCCTTCCTACATGCTGTCACTAAGAATGACTCAGTGGGCACCACATGTCCCACAGCCCCCCACCGCTGATGTACGGCCTACCCCTATGTCACTGCACACATGCTGTTGCCAGGAGGCTTGGGCAAAATGTGTGGGCTACCTGGGAGCCACTTCCGTCACAGCAGCTGCTACAGACTCCTACCTGGTCCAGCTCCATCTCATCAGGTGTTCGCCACCGAGCAGTTGGGCTGCTGGCACTCTGATCTGCTGGCACAACCACGATGTAGTACCACCTGGGAAGGAAGGAAAACATAAGCACTGGCCCCTAAGTCATCTCTCTGGCAGGTCACTGTGTAACATGAGCCATATGTGCCATATGCATCCCAAGGACAAACTCCTCCTCTTCCTGCCCTCTAAGCAAAAGGGTTCAGTAAGGAAGAGGCCAGTTTTCCAGCTACACCAGAGAAGAGAATACTCCTGTTAGTGCTCATTAGGTTAATGAAGATCTACAGACTGTGCTCCAGAGGGTGGTGTAGGAGCTGTGAGAAGGACATTTATATAATCAGATTGTAGCAAGCGCCCTGGGGGAACTGTGCTACAGCACAAGGATACCACAGTAACGAATGAGACTTCTACAAACTCGCTTTTTTAATCTCCTTGAGGCTTTAGGCATTATTTATTTAAAGGATATTATACAGTGTCAGAGAAAGTCCCTCCTGATCCTCAACTGTGTTTCTGTGGGTAGCATCTGGAGTATATCCACCAGGGTGAGGGCAAACTGTCAGAGAATTGTCTTAATTTTATTGCACATAAATATTTGCCCAGAAGAGCCAGCAGTGTGATCCCATGTTACAGGTAAATGCCTGGCTCTGTATCACTGCATGTTCACAAATTCACTCCCAGGTTACAAAATCCATGGGCTGGCAGAGGTCTGCCCTGCCTTTTTCTTCATCTCTAGCCCCCCACCCTGCCTTCTCCACCCAGGCACAGCACCTACCTAACTGGCACAGTGGTCTGGACTTTGGGAAGGGTGAGCGTGAATTTTCCTTCCTGTATGTACTTGTTCGTGGCGATGGGTTTGCTTTGCAAGACATCAGGAGCGGTGCGGATTGAGACGAGGTGCTGGAGCCCCCCAGCACTGCTCCCGCGGTTCATTAGCACAAAAGAATAGTCTGTGTCTGGCTGGAGGTCACTTATGAGTTTCTTCATCGAGTGGCCGTCCACCTCCACACTCTGGCTATTGTACAGAATCTGAAACGGGAAAAGGACACGCTTATGCAGCCGACAGCTGCTGATGAAAACTCACACTCAAAATAGCAGCGTTAGAGACAACAATTTGGCTTTGGGCCCTCCCTCAGGTGGTTCAGCTACTGTGCACTTTGTAAACAGCCATAAATCTTTAGTTAAAGAAGAGCAACCCCCAGCACAGGGTTGAATCGTGCTCCCTGTGCTTTGCAGCGATGGAGCAGAGAGGGTCATCTCAGCAAAGCCCGAGTGGCCGGTGCCAGTGGTGAGGCTGGTGGTGCTACACGTGCTGCTTTTCAGTGCCAGTTGCGGGGAGGAATCCAGATGGCTGTGCTTTGCCCTTGCGTGGAGATGAATGGGTCTTTCTTTCTTGTCTCATGAGGCTACAACACACAATATGCTTTTGCTGTAAAATCCCGTCTGCTTGAAATTGGTGTCACTCCCGTGTCTACCAGCTGACGCCTGATCGAATGGTTAATGCAGAGCGTTCCCCTCCCAGCAAAGTGACCGAGGGGGTGTTACGTACGATCTGACAAATCCTGTGCAGGGCTCACAAATTGGTACCCGAAACAGCAGCTCTGCAGGTGTGACACCCTGTTGCCATGACAACAGATGCTGGTGCCACACCAGCCGCGGGCAGGAGATCGGCGCTGCTTTTCCCTGCTGCGCTTGCAGCGAGGGGCTGCTGGGCTGGGCAGGGCAGAGCCGCTGGTGGCCCCAGGGCAGTAGGCAGCCTCTACACACTGCTTCCCACCCTTGGGTGCACCAACAGTGCCCTGTTGCAGATATGCAGGACCCCCGTCTCCCCTGGGGCACAGCAGCCATGGGCACTGCTCTATCAGCTGCACCAAACAGCCCGTCTGCCCTGGGAACCTTGATCCCGGTCTTGCTGGAACAACCCCTGTACCCTGAAACCCTGGGTGCTGCCTCTGCAAAGCCAGAAACTCAAATGGTTCCTGGAGACAGAGAGAAATGGGGTGTAGAGAACTGGAGAAATCAGAGGTTGTGCCCCAGCTGTGACAAACCAGCATGTTTCCTTCCACTGGGTGACCATCCGGCATGGCAGGGGAATGCTGGATTCCTGATAGTGCTGCAGAGACACAGCATGTCAGAAACTGGCAATGGCAGAGCTGGAGCATGTTAAACCATGGCAGCTATTACATGCCACAGGCAGAGACCACACAGTAAAATGTGCTCTTTCCAACAGCAGCCTTGAGAGAGAGAAGACAGCTCTGTGGAAGAAAAATTACTTAAGGTAAACCAGATTTTTCACCAGCTGAGCCCACTATTCAGGCTGACACAGGCAGCAAGGGAGGGACCAAACTTTCTCTCCAAGTCACCTTTTTAGCAGGTGGCAGAATCTGCAGAAAGCGGCTGGCTCTCTGGGACATGGGCACCTGATTTAGCACCATTCTAATATTTAGTGCTGGAGCTGGGAGGAGCGGGGAGGCCCTGGAGAGAGATCTGAAGGACAGCAGAGCACAGGGACCAGGCTAGGCCTGGAATTTGCAGACCTGCTTTTGTGTTATCCAAACAGCAGTACCCACAGCACACTTCAAATCCTCATCAGGTAACTTTGCATGGAGGTTGGGATAGGAAAAAAACCCCAGCTTTTTTGCTGCTGAGAAGAGACTCCCAACGGGTAGCAGAGCAGCAGTGAGAAGCCAGCAATGAAGGAGAGATGCAATCAATCTCGTTTGTTGACATGCTTGAATCTTCAGGGATGAACTGCAAAACTAAGTATCAAGTACTAAAATAACAGAGGTTTACAGGGACAAAGCCCCTGCTGGCTGTCCCATGTGCAGGAAAGGCTGTCAAAGGTAGGATGGCTGGTTGCTCCTCTTAAGATACTTTCTCCTGGGCTTTAATCCCTTTCTCCAAAGACATGTACATCAGATGGGTGCTAAAGTGAGTGAAAAAGGTAAAATGAAGAAATGCTTCTTACAAGTGCTGGAATATCAGATGTTTTGTTGTGTCCTGGGGGAGCAGCGGGACCTCACTTCATGTGCTCCAACACAAATTTGAACAAAACCAAACCAAACTTCCAACATGAAAAGCTATGCTGGAAGGATGCAAAGCCCACAAAGAATTCCGTTGCCTCTCAGATGAGATTTCTCGTTATGAATTCTTCCCTCATAAAGGTATCACCAACTGCTTCTGCATTGCTCTAGGGAAGACACCCACCCACCAACTGCCTACACGTGAGGCATCTGCTGGGGACATGGCTGTTCTCCTGGAGCAAGACGAGGCAGAAGAGATGGTCAGGAGCTTCAGTTCAGAGTTTCCCAGCTTGCCCTGCACTGGAACTGGCCAGGACACAGTCTCCGTTTCAGTCCTGATGCCAGATGATGATTTTTAATGCCATGCACATAAATGTCTGTCCAAAGACAGTGCAATTGGCGTTTGCAATGCTTTCCTGAAGCATTCTCTGCCATCCCCCCTTTTCACAGTTGCTGGAGCAGTTCTACATTCCTTTACTTGGCATAACACATTGTCTTCTCAAATGTTGTGCACCATTAGTTAAGGCCTCTGCACAAACCGAATGCCATTTAGAGGTTGCATCATCGCCCACTGGTAACTACTTAAGTCAGTAGCAAATTTGGCCCAAGGGCTCTGAACTGCCAAACACTGCTGACTAGCCCATGGATTGCTCTAAAATGTCATTTGTGCCGCTCTTACCCACAAGAGAAGATTTGCAAAGCTAGGTAGGCCCAAATGTCACTGATGAAGGTCTGCTGCTTGATTTCAAGGCAGTAAAGAATGTATTGAACTAAAAGATGAAAAGACACGTAGTGTACAACACTGGAAAAGATAATGACACGATGGAGAAGTAGATTAGGTCGCCTTTTTTGTGGGCAGGAGTAGTTACTACATTCCATGGGGGACACTGTGAGAAAGCACTGCCCAGCATTCTCAGGGGTTATTTCCAAACCTGTATCATAATAATTTTCAAAAGGTGCTGTTCCTTCTCCCCGTTTGTAAAATACCTTGTGACACTACTTTTAGCCAATATATCCTCTGTCCTGCTCTTAAGTTGAAGAATGTGTCTCAGGAAAGTGCAGTTTCCCCAAGGAGAAGGTTGTATCTATCTTGCACTTTCCATGAAAGCTCCAGAACAGCGTTCTGCAAGCACATTGAAATAGAAAAGGAATAGTGCCTCTGCTCCATCACAGCTGCTGGGCAACATTTTTACACGGAATTTACCTCCTGGACCAGAAGCAGCTGTGAAAATTCCCCAAAGAGAACTCAAACCTTCACTATTGATTTGGTAGCAATGAAAATTCCTCAGGTCTCAGTTCATCCCCTATAAAAAAAAAGCACACCAGTCCTGCCTGCGCCTCACTATTCCTTGTCAGAACAATATCTACTTTAATTAAATCTGTTAAAGTAGAATATGACACCCTTTGGGACATAGATTTAGCATGAGACTGTTTATCAAGTGTAGATAATACTAATTGTTCCCATGGAGATTTATCTGCTATGCTAGTTACAGTATTAGGCTCTGGCCTCGGCATCCCATGTGCCTGAATTAGAGGAGAGAGGTGAGCCTTGTTTATAAAAATACAAAATCCTGAAGGTTAAGGATTTGTTTCAAGTGGCACAATCAACGACCTGGAGCTGACCCTCTTAGCTCCTGGCCTTGACTCATGTGTGTCTGCAAGTCTGGGAATATTAATAGAAGGAAGATGCTATTAGAGAAATATCCTTGTAACACTCTGGTTTGCATGACTGCTCTTCAGTTAGCAAGTGGCTAATGCCATCTGCTCCTGTGTCATCTGAGGGTTAACCCACAGCAGGGGCAGACCCTGAGTCACCATCTGTGTAAGCAATTGAAGCTATGAGGCCGAGACAACGCATCAGCATTATGTCCTTGGCTCCTGGCTACCTCCAACCACTCCACCATCCTTATGTGGTAGTAATGCTCCAAAGGTCACACTGTCCCTTTCTAGCACTGTGCTGTCAGAGAGAGATGTCGGCTTTATGCCACAAGAATAAGGCAAGATGAAGCAGACTGGTTCTTCAGCAGAGTGCAAAGTAACAGAACTCTGTGAAGTTCCTTGCAGCCAGATATCTGATCCTAATGCATCCTACATCTGGAAAAGCTTTGAATACCACCAGGTCTTCACAAAAGCCTTGTCTGCTTCGGCTAAACTCTGCACGTTAACAAGTGCCTACTATTGATCATGGTAATTCAGCTTCAGGATTTAAACAAGGAGAGTTAGTGACAAGGAACGGGAGGTGCTCACACACTTTGATGAGCATGCAGTTCAAGACCTTCCCCTCATTCCCCTGGCCATGGATCCCTCACAGCTCATGCACGCCTTGCATTTGCTCTTTAGGCACAGCATGGCAGGGTGCATGTGCAAGAAGGAAGGGAACTCATGTTGCTCCCCTGGCCACCTTTGCAGAGGAGTAGATAGCTGCTAAGACGGTGGAAGATTATCTTTGGCGATGGGACATGTTGGTCTTGTTTCTTAAGGGAGAGAAACAGCACTGAAATCTGCAGAAATTTCCACCACACTCTCGTCTTTTACTCACATCAGTGATCCACACTGGGGGACACACAAGAGTAGGAAGACATCGGGTCATCAGTGTTGTCTGCAGCCTGGTGGATGACACTACATCCAGAACTTGGCTGGAGAAAAGCGAGCAGTTCCCTCTGCACTGACACATCTTGTGCTGCTCACACCTGTAACACCTTCTGGAAGGGTGATGATGTTTCTCTTCTTTACTCCCCGAGATTATCTATCTGCCCTGATGCTCTGAAGTAAACTCATAAAGGCAATCCAGACATTTGAGACAGGACACATTGCAGAAGCTGTCATTCTTAGTTTGATTCACTGGCTCGTTTTCAGACCACTTTGTCCTGGTGATCTCTTGTGATTAAATCATCTTTATAACGTTTCACACTTCAATTCTGAGTCAGGCAACAAGACAAGCTTGTGTAACCACTGTCACAGTGCTGCAATGGCCAGCCTGACCAGTGGGCCCCAGCTGAGTGATACCAGGTAACAAGACACTTGAGAAAGCTGATGGAGGAGTGAAGCACTGATTGGGACTGCGTGAACGACCATCACAACTGCTCATGAGAAAAGCATCAATGATTTGGGGTGCCAGACTGGTTTCCATTTCCCTTTGAAAAGGCAAGTAATACAGGGGCACTATCAGGGGAGGACTGGGTACTTAGCAGAAGTTGCTATGGTCAAGATGGGTTTCTAGGTGGATGGTGAGAAGCCAGAAATACATATTACGATACCGGAGTCTTCCCCATTCTCTGACTGCCTCTGCCCAGCAGATGCCTTCACTGCCTGGTGTTTCCTGTTGGTGTGCTTCAGCCAACATTATTCACTCCTGTTTTATTACCATGAGCCAATTGCTTACTGGCTATGCCACAACTGATCAAACCAGAAAGAAATCAACAAAACTACACTTTCTGGCCTAAGAAGAGTGAGAGGAGGGAAAGCAAGCAGTGTGCTCTACTGTGTGCCATGGTTCATGTGCAGGTGCTCGAAAGCAAGAGTGGCTACCTAACCTGGGCTTGGAGATCTGAGCTCCAGAAGACCCCAGACCAGTGAGCAGTGTGACTCTGCTCTCCTTGTCTCTCATCTGATGGCCTGACAACATCATGTGGCAGGGCAAGATGCTGCTTTCCACTCTCCTGCTCACTGCCATAGGTGGAGCTCCCTGTCCTCTGCATCCCACCCTTACCTTAAAAGGCACTGCAGATTTATAGGAGTCAGGCACTTCCCAGCTCAGCAACACAGACGTTTTCATGACGGCATTGACACGGAAGTTCTTAGCAAACACTGAAATGAAACACAAGATATTTGAGCACTGCAAGGCCAAGTCAGGAGGGAGCCAGGCAGCAGCTCGGCTCCAAGTCTCTCTTTGTCTAACTCAGCAGCAGAGGTCAAAGAGTTCAGCTACAGCAGAGAAGTGAGAGATGAGGAGAAAAGAGCAGCAGCCTTTTACCAAGTCTCCAGTCTCCACTGCAGTTTCGCTTTTTGACTATACTTTCCTGCATTACAGAAAGGAAATTGTAGGCTGAACTGTAGCCTTCCTCTCTTCCCACCTCCACTCACACTCTCTTGGCACTTTGCCATGATCAAAGAACAGTGGTGCTCAGGTACTGGATCTGCAGACGATCCTACCAAGCCACCTGCTCCAGTTCAAGCAAAAGCCTTTCACGTACAGATAAAATAGCAAAGTGTACCTGTGGAGCGACAAAGGCAATTAAGCTACCACCAATGCCCCTCTCCCCACAGAAGGCAACTTTAAGGAAACTTTCGTTGAGCCTCCCCTTGCCAAACTGCATTTTAGAACAGGGAGCCACACAGTACCTGATCTCGTTAGTCAGAGCAAAGGGAAGCGTAGCCTCACGAACCGAAGCAAAGGTCCCTGTCCTGGAGGCAGAGCTTCCTGTTAGGGCTTTTTAGAGGGGCACTTACCTTGTTCAACAGGCATAGTCCGGGACTGGATGCTGGGGCTGAGCGGCCCAACACCCTTATTGGTGCGGGCCCTCACTTTGATGTCATAAGTGGTATCGGGCTTCAAATTCATCAAAGTGATACTTGTGTCCTTGGTGATGTTAACCAGGTCCTGCTGGCTATTTATGTCCCTGTATACCACTGTGTAGTTGACGATCTTGCCATTTCTTTCTGCCAAGACCGGTGGGTCCCATGCAACTTCTGTGGTGGAAGTGGTGAGACCCACCACACGCAGGTTCTGCGGGAAGCCACTTGGCACATCTTCTGCAGTAGTGATCTCCTTCTCAAACTCCTCTCCTGGACCAGCTCTGTTCTTGGCAGATAATTTGAAGAGGTATGTGGCCCCCTTGTGCAGGTTGGTCACAGTGTAGTGATGGTCTCTCTTCCCGAAGTCTATTGTGTTCATCTTTTCCTCATCAAGACGTCTGTACTGCAGCCGGTAACCCAGCAGCTCCCCTACCATCTCCTTGGGTGGGTGCCACTGGATGAGGGCTGTGTTCATGGCTGTCGTGCTAATCATCATGGTGGGCTTCCCCGGGACTGCAACATAAACACACAATGACCATCTATAGCCTGGGAGGAGGGGAAGGAAGGACCGCTTCTGTGCTGCTCAGTCCGTGAGGATTGAGGAAAGTGGGAAAGTTCAGACAACAGGGTGAAGAGGATGACAGACAATTCACATGGACAGAGGCAGACCGACCCTAATCCGGTGGTGAGGGAAGCTGGAGCCAGCCAGCTTTTGGCCGCCATTTTCCCATGTGCTTCCATCTAAGCAGGCAATAAATTCAGCCATATCCAGCCCCAAAATTCATCCCCTTTTACAGGAAAGGTTTAAGGTACCTCAAAGCATCATATTTATCTCAGAGAAGATCTGAATCCTGTCCTCCCAATCAATGGTCTTCAGACACTCCAGCTAGTGCACAGCACCAGGCCACGCTGGCCCTGGTGCACTGTACCAAAACAGACACACAGAAGCCCATGTCCAGCGCCCTGATCTGTCTGGAGGCAGACAAATTTCATCCTGAAACCTTGCAGTTTTACCATCTGCAGAGGCAGCGAGCAGAGCTGGGTGGGCTGTTTGCCATCAGAATACATTTTGGTTTAGCTGATGAGCAGATTCATGATGTCAGTATCGATGTGAGAGGTGAACACAAGTGTTCCACAGGATTTTTGCTTATGCTGCACAAGTCAAGGGGTGTTGCCGTCACTGGTTAGGAACTGATGGCTTTAAATTGATGGTTTAATACCTTGATCTCCTTCAGTTAAAAAAAGGATGCGTCTTCACTTCACATCAGCTCAGATTTGTAAACAAATCAACTGATAGGGAAGATACTCAGAATCAAAGGGATGCGGCCATTGATACGAAAATGAAAATGGGACTGTAGCCAAATCTAGTTAAATATCCTTGCACAGTTTTGAAACGTACAAGCCCACTGATGAGCACAAGAGAAAAAAGTATTTGACAGAATTATGCCCCAATTTTGCCATCAGAGGGCGATACCAACACTCCCCTTTCAGGTCAAACCTGCAGATGAGCCTGTACAGAGGCAGCTCTGGGGCTGGTTTTGTAGGTATTTAAGACATACAGTTACATTTCCACTGCCAGTGCCATCCTCCTTTGCACTCATAGTACAACGTCTAACAGCAGTTAGTATTAAGGGACACGTTATTTTCAAAGCTGATTCCAAATATTAACTTTAGATGTGCATCATAACATGGGAAGACCCACTGTGGTTTACAGTGCAACACGGGGATGTTTAGGAAGCTTTTCCTGTTTATAGGACAGCTGCAGCAATTTGATGAACAGAGCATACATCATGGCGAGGCACAAGGGAGACAGCATTTGAGACTGTGACAGTGGAAACTACCTCTGGAGCTCCCCAATATGAAGCGCGGAGGAGATGGCAAGCTGTTCCTTGTTTAAAAGCACCAGGAACAAACGCTCTCAGTTTGCACAAGCTGCATTCCCATAATAACAAGTGGTAAATACTGTTCCTGTGGCTGGTGTGAGGAAGCAGCAGGATTATCAGTTGTAGGGCAGGTCTAGTGAGTGGAAATTGAGGACAAGACAATGTCAACTAGTTGGTGCCACCGCCAAAGGCAAGCTTGTCTGCATCCGGAGGAAAGCACCTGATGAACTCCTGGGTGCCCCTGCTCCAGGCCGAGGCTCCTGTGTTGCACTAGGCACAGGGTACAAGTCTCTACTCAGACAGCAGAACCGAACTGGCTGGGATCACCAGGACCTAGAAGTTGTGTCCGCAGCACTCCTATGGCAGGATTTGTTGCATTCCAGATTTTACCATGGCTCTAGGAGCAGCCAGGCTCAGCTATGTAAGCCTGGGGAGGCAGCAGTAGCAATAGGCATGGGTGAGCCGAGAAGCACCTCTGAGGAGCCCTCTGTGCCAGGGGCCATCCCAGGCGGCAGTGCAGTCACTGCAGGAAGCAAGAAATAGCACTTGCCTACGGGAACGTGAGGACAGGCCATGACTCCAAAGCTGAGGGAGGACCTGGACTTCCAGGCTTCCTCTTCCCTGGTCTCTGGACTACGCAGATGAGCTCAGACCCATGAGTTTCACTGTGCTCTCACAGTCCCTGGCAGTGTCTGTCCAGCTGTGTGCTGCACTTGGCTCAGGTGATCCAGTGGCAAAGCCTGTAAGTAGGGGCTGGAGATCACAAGAGTATGTACCTCTGCAGCATCTCCAGCCCTCTCGCTTCCTCCTGCACAGGTGCCTTGGCCATACTCCCCATGCACCTCTTGTGAGGTTTTACCACCACCCCTACAAGGCTGTGATATCTGCTGCCCACACTCACCTGCCCCTGTGGTGGTGATGACTTTTGGCTTGCTGCGGGCACCATCTCCTTTGGTGGTGTAGGCAGCGACTGTGACAGAGTAGGTGGTTTCCGGCAGCAGGCCTCCAATGACTGTCTCCTGGGAGCACATCCATGAGGTGGAGAAGAGGCAAATGAGAAGAGCAAATACTTGTTACTGGAGTGAGCAAAGGAGGGCACTGGGGTCAGCATCTCCAACACCAACACACTGACACACTCACTGGCTCACACTCATAGACTGCACCCAAGCACACACGTCTCGCACAGAGCCAGCAAACAACAATCACTGCTGCTCCAACACTCACCTGCCTGGTTTCAATCCCTGCCTCTAACACTTGGCTGTCCTAGGGACCCACCAGCAACCTGTGTCAGTGGCTGCATGCTCCCACGGCCTCTGCCAAGAGGGAGATCTGCTCCAAAGATGGTCCTGTCTCAAGCCAGAGACACTCTGCCACAGCAAGCCTGAGAGTAAGAGTACTGTGGAGCTGTGAACCAGAGCAAAAGCCAGTTCAGCTGGCTGCGGAAACCTCTTGGGGGCTAATTTGGGGATTTTTAAAGTTGCCTCTTGCAGCAGAGCCGCGGGGAGCACAGAGAGGCAACACAGGCAGCAGCATGGCCACACCGGGCGGGGGGCCCCAGGCGAGGAGCACCTGCAGTGCTGCAGCACCGAGTTCACCCTCCCTGCCAGACACGGCGTTGTAAGGATGGGATGGGGTCAGCACAAGGCGTTGGCAAGATCTGGAGGGAAAACCCTGCACCATGGGAGGTCTGGGAGGAGGGCGAACTCGGCAGGGTGCTAGCACCCTTGCATGCTCTGGCTTCCTCTGGGCAGAAGGAGGGCATGGCTCCACACTTCAATTTGAGATCAAAGAGGGGAGCACTGCTCCTCCCTCCTGGCCTGCAGTAGCAACGTGACTTGTGCCAAGCCTGGCTGGCCAGGATTGCAAAGGAGCAAGCACAGCGAGCTCAGCAGCTCCCAGCAGCTCTCTGCGAGCTCAGAGCAGGCCTCCCTGAACTGTGTTCAACTGCGGGTGCTGTGAAAAGGACCAAGGCCATTAGCACTAATAACCGAACAGGTCAGGGAACAAGAGACAACTGGGCTGGATCGAGAGCTGCGGGAGCTTTTGGGAAGGAGGCAGAGGCTCTGAATTGGTCATTTACCCTTCCAGACAAGGAGGAGAACAGAGATGGAGAGGGTTAAGCTTGAGTCACTGAGGACAGACAGCATGAGCACTGTTACAGACTGCTCCAGGAGTCCAATATCTGCCTGGGGGATCCTTGCCAGCTTTGGGGGTTTAAAGGGCACCTGCAGTTGCTCTCAGAGCATAGCCAGTCTCCCGTCACTCATTCGCGCTAACATGCACGCTATTAAACCTGCTGATTTCCAGTCAGCGCTGCTGGTTCAGGTTACCTGCCCAGACTTACTCATCAAAACCACCGTGTTACCATCGCGGAACCAGCCAGCCCATAGAAAAATCAACAAGCACCAACAAGAACCCCGCCAAAATCACCGTGTGAACCAGAGTCCAATCCCAACTCCGCCCCTGCAGCAGATCATGTGTGCGGGTGAGTGGACGCACAGTCCGATCGGTGCCAACGGACCCGCGGGGGAAGCACTCACACAAAACCTGCAGACTCTGAACATCCCAAGAGAACACACTCCTCCCAAATCCATGCAAAGGGAAATTCTCACGCAAAAGCATGCCACCGGGAGCAAAGCAAGCGAGCTGGGAGGAGGGGAAGAGAGACAAGGGATGGATGAAAGAAGGTCTGATTGCATAATGTAAACACAGTGCTGTCATGACAAAGCCACTCTGAGTGAGAATCCCCTGTATAAAGGAGGAGGAGAAATGCACTGTGCCAGGGAAGCTCACAGTAGGGCATGTAATTGAGTTGCTGGCTCTAAAAAGGTAATTTTCAAGTTTGTTCCTCCAAATTTGTATTTCAAAATTATGTGGGAAAAATTGGATTTAACTGTTTAAATGTGATTGTTTTCTTATTACTATCTGTGTTTCAGCCAAAGGTCATGGTCTAGAGTGTAGGTTATTTTTCATGACTACGATCAATGTGGTTTAAAGATTATATACCTAATTTTACCATGTAACTCGGTGGGCCAACTACTGCAGAAAGTAGGATGCACCTCCTGAGCTGATCACTTGAGTCTGCCTAAAACTGTACTGCAACAAGCTGGAAATACAGATTATAGGAAATGTCAATTGCTTTTCTGCATTTAGTAGCAATCTAAATGCCAATTTTCTCTGGATTTGCTGCTTGTGGAAGGTTTCACAATGTAACTCTCCAGCCTCATTAAGAGAGTGAAAGGGATGTTTTGACAGCACTGTGTCTACAAAATTCACAAATCGATTTACCAAACCCCTCTTTTCCAACCTGGAATACACACAAGTGGTACTTACATGGTCGACGGAGTCCTCAGCTCTCCACTGATGGGGGAGGAAAGGAAGGAGGAGAGAAAAATGGAGACACAGAATTTTAAGGGGCAACGTGTAGGAAGGGGATGACAATGACGACAACAGCAGGGGTTAGCCGGACTGGGTTGGGGAGATTACAACACTTATACAACACAAAGGGTCACTTGGCACAGGGTGTGCCAAGGGAAGAAATGGCACAGAGCAATTTTCTACATGCCACTAGCCTGCGCAGTAAGTCTAAGATCATTCACACAAACAGGGGCAAAGAGCATCCTTCTCATATGGATGGAAAGGTTGCCACTTTCTAACTTTGCAGTCTTTTCCCCTTCTGGCTTTGTTTGCATTTTTCTGCCTCTTCCATGAGCAGAAGCAAGAAGGGACAGCTTGTACCAACAAGGTTCTGGGGCTCACTGCCCCACAAGTCATTCACAACAGTTCTGTGCCCTCATCTCCAGTCTCTGTCCTAGTGATTCTCCAGCCACCATCTTTTGTTGAGAATCAAAGACTTCAACACACAAAACAGGTGCAGGGAAGCACCAATGCAACATCTACAGAGCTTCTCTTTCCTGTATCATTTGCAAGAAAATGCCCTGGGGACCTCAAAAAACTCGAGAAGTGCCATCCCTTGTAAACAGTGCAAGAGAAGCCACGATCTTGCACAGAGCTCCACACTAAGCTGCTCTCCAACAGCGCTGTGCGGCTTGGAGCGAGGCTCAGACTGGTGCAGGTAGTTAGGAAACAGCTTCTCACCCCCAGTTACACAACACCAAACGGCAAACACTCATTTGGCAAGAGCAGCCCTGCAGGTTAAGACTTCTACGCACCCATTTCCCAGCAAAAGCTCACGTGGATTCCCAGCCATGGCAGCTCAATTAGGGCTCTGAAGAGAGAACATGGAGGTTTCTGGCTGTATTTGGGGTTCTAAGGCATCAAAGCTGCATTGAGGTGGTGAGAATTAGCAGACCTTGGCTGCTGCCACGCATGCCCATAGCACTGTTCTTTGTGGTTGATACACCAAAGGAAGGTTTGCAGAGATCACAGAGAGCTCTCTCAGCCAAGGTGATGCGTTACATCTCAGGTTACTAAATCTGCCTGGAGGAAGCACTGGTTGATGGGTTCAAGCACAGAGATGAAAGTGGAAGATAGGTATTATTGCCCCTGACTCACAGTGTGAGCCTTGGCAAGCCTTGCTTCTGAGCCTGAGCTGCCAGCTGTGAAACGGTGCTCAGATACTGACTTCCTCAGGACATCGGGAAGACCAGCTACTGCTGCTGAAGGGCCCGGGAACCTGCAAGTGTGGCAGAAGGACTAAATGATATTAAAGCTGCAAGTTGCTTTTTGTACTAAGGCTATCTGAAGTGGCTTTCACAGGCTGCAACCTATCACAGTGGCAGAGTATGCTCCTCAGCATAGGAATACATATGCTATGTATATAGATAAAATAGCATATGTAAAAAACATAGCATACCTTCAAAATATTTGTTATTTAATTCTCTAAATTCAGAAAGAAGCACCTATTGGAGAAATGTTGCTCTAAGATTTTATTACAGTTCACTTATTTGATGCCATGAGACTGCAGTAGAACTATCCCCCTAAACCATCTTAGAATTTAATTTCAGCGAAGAGGTCAAGTTGTCCCTAAAGACTTCCTATAAAGCCAAGGCCCTCACTAAGTATTATGATCACTAAAGGCCCTCTTTCCACACACACCTTGGTGTTATTTCTAGTGTTGCATGTTTAGCTCAACCCAAGTCATTACTGTTGACATCCTGCCTGCACCAGGCAGCCCACACTGTGGTCAACAGCCATACACTCTGCCCTGCTGATCTAAAACCTGGCAAAAGTCTCGCTACAGGAAGGATATGAGGCCTGGTAGCTCTTTCTCCCAGAAGTACACTTCTGCTCCAACACCATGTCCCTGGTGGATGGGGCCACGTGGATGGTAACACCCCAACCTGCCTCCATGTAGCTGCAGGAGCAGGTGACATCCCACTGCAATGAACAGTGGAGCAGACTGGGCTCAGGAGGCTACTGCATCTCACAGCCTCTCACACCACAGCAGGGAGTTTATCACCCACTAGGATTTTAGACCAAGCGTTTAATGTTCAATCTCTGTTTGCTCTTATGTTTCACTGGACTTCAATCTTGCATCAGATCAGAGTGCAAAGAAACGCCTTGAGATCTGTGCTGGAGGAATAACAGTGAAAAGCCAGGCCTGTATAAATACCCTGCTATAAATTCAGTTTAATTATGAAAATATCATCTGCAGATCAAAACATTTCCTTCTTTAAACTAGCTCAGTTGCTTCTTAACTGCTTAAGGTTGGTCAGTAAGACAAATTGATCTGAAAAGCCCAGGAGCTGTCATAAAAAGAACTCAGACAGTGCTGTGTGCATGAGGCAGGATGGCTCAGGGAAGTGCTAAAGCTAACAGTGTGTATTTATGGCAATTCCTTAACGTTTCATTTTACACTTCAACACTGCACAGTGTAGTCATGTCTCACCAGGGAATGGCTGTTTTCCCTGACCATGGCTCTTGCAAAAGACAGACTCAAGCGCTCCTAAACAGCCCCAGCTGTGGGAAGTGGATGGCATGGTTTTCCTGCAGATCCTTCTCCTCTGTGCTTCAGTGACTGTGGCCCAACAGTGAAACTCCAGATGTAAACTCAGGTGCTCAGCTTGTGGGATGCAGAGGGCTCCAGAACTTCACCTCTGTCCATTACTGAAATGCCTCTTGGAACAAAACCGAAAGGCATCGTCCACTTATGAATGAGAGTACATCTCACCTCCACGCCAGACTCTTACCTAGAGGAGTACACATGCATGAGGAGTTCTTCCAAGCAGATTCACATAAAGATCCTTTACTATCATCCAGTGAAAGAAGGAGGCTGTACATTCCTCTGTGTTATGCCTGGGGTGGGCACTGCCCAGGGAGAATAGGAGTTTCTGCTTCCCCTTTCTCCTTTGATTTCAATCCAACAGCTTGAAGTGCTTGCCGTTACTTCTTCCTGCTCTTCTGGAGCAAGCTGGTGGGACATGCACTCGCTCTGCATGCTGGATGGAGAAGTGCCACCTGCAAAGACCACACAATCTTCCTGTGAGCCTGCAGCCCTTCTTGTGGGCAGCACACCTATCCTCTACCATGACTATGTTTGCAGAGCAGGAGGAGGAGGTGACAGGAGTCTCTCCTCCATCAAGCTTCATCTCTTTGTACTCAGCTGTACCCAGCCAGCTCCCAGCAGCAGAAGCACTGCAAAACTCTCTGGGCAGGCTGGATCTGCAGGGGGCTGTAAGCAGCAAGGCTGATGCGCACGCCACATCCCCACAGCAATGCAGGCAGCAGAGGCTCCCTGGCAAATATGCTGCATAGTTGAGCACAGGAGCGATTGTCAAGGCCACATTGCAGCATGGGGAGAAAGTCCCCCCTCAAGATGATCACAGTCTGGGTTCAGGACAAGCAGACTGGGAGCAAGACACAAAGGATCAACAGCTAGATTCACTCAGGGTCTAGCTGCCTGTCTTGGAAAAGAGCAAACAAGAGTCACGCTTGCACGGGAACTTGAACAGGAAGGCCTGTCCTCCCCTGGCTCTGCTGCCTCCTTTGTGCCGGGCGCTCCAGAGTCAGCACTGCTGCCTGGCACTGCTCGGCACGGAGCTCTGTGGGGCACACAGGACTGAGGCCTGGGAAGGGATGGAGGGGATCAAGCCCACTCTTCCTCCTGATGCACTGCAGCTGCCCAGGGATTGGAGACCAAGGAAAACAGGTGAGTCCCTGCCCTCCCCTGGAGAACCCAATGCTTGTGCCCCATGGCTCTGCTATCCTCCCACAAGTTGGTGAGGACTTGTATGAGAGTGGTGGAGTGCAGCTGAGACCCTGCACTGGTGCCCCTGCTCCTTTCAAAGGTGCGTTCTCAGCGCTTGGATGCGTTTTGCACAAGACTCAGAGCACAGAAATGAATCTTCTGCCATCGCCCACCATGGGACCTGGCTGAGCCGTGGCAGGCAGGGCCTGTGCAGGAGGTGGTGCAGGTATCTGACCCAACTCTGCTGTGATGCACATGCTCCCCCTGGGCACTCCTCCACAGGGCATGGTCACATTTGCTTGTCCATCAGTCTGTCAGTAGGAGGTGAGAGCTCAGACTGGAAGGCATAGAGAAATCTGATGGAGGTAATCAGTCACAGGCGCAAACACAGAGGGGAGGGAGAGGTTTCAGCTCCATCGCAGGACCTTCCTAACAACTGATTACTCTCCCTAGGCAGGAGTCTGTAAAATAAAATGTGATGTCTCCAGCACCAGGGCCCCCACTTCTCTGATGATGTTTTAGTCCTTTCCACTCAAATGGTTTTGAAAACTCCAAATCTGTATTATCTGCATAGCTAACATCTCCATTCCTTTCCCTTTTGCCTTTCATCTTCGTTTACTCTCTCCGTATTTGTCATCTTCAATCAGGAAAAATCATGAATCAGCTTTAATACCAGTGTCTTCATACCATCTGCAGAAAGCAGATTATGTGGTACACACCTACTCAAAATTAGCTGACAGCATGGCTAGGCAAGAGGAGGGGCTCTGCCTACATGTCCAGAGAGTTTCTTCTCTGACCCCAGGTTTTCAATCAGTTTAATTCTCTCCTTCTGCACTGGTATAAATGTTTATAAATGTTTATGAGTACTGAACCGTGGCTATATTCTGTCCATCTTCAACCTGCAACCTTCAGGGACAGGTGCTCCAGTGAATCTTTTTGTTTTCTTCCACAGAAAATAACTCTTCCAAGACTACTTGTTAAAGTTTGATCTGGCTGTTTGCAAGACACACACTGCTGTACTGAAAGATGGCTGCTCTTACAGGGTTCTTCAGCTTCTGGAGCAGATGTATTTCATCACAAGCACAGGTCATGCTTGGCTTCTCACTCTTTCGGGAAATAAAGATCTCTTCTGCCAAGTCAGTAAAACCTCCTCCCTGCAGGGTCAATCATTAGTTTATCCCAAGAGTGACATGACTCCCTCAGAGCAGTCACTTTTCTGCAACTATCTTTTGGCCTTCACTTCCATCCAAAGATTACAGCGGATGAGTTCAGCACCATACACACCAGAGAAAAAAAACCCCAAACCACAGCGACCAAGAACTTTCCCACATAAATTCACCAAATATGAAAGACTGGTAAGTGGTCTGACAGGCCAGGAAACTTCAAGCAACCTGCCTCCTTGATGCACACATTCAAAATAATGCAAAATCCAGCACTCCTTGGAAAGCTTCTGGCTCTGGCATCCTCATTCCTGCACATTAGAATGGGGTTTCTCTTTCTGAAATGTATGAGTAAGGAGTGAAAGCAGAACTGGCTGGGCAAGTGTAAAATATTTGAAAACACCAACCAGAGCAACATTGCCAACTTCACCCACCTCTGCTTGGGACCAAACCATTAACTCCAAACTCCAGCTGAACAACACAGCATCAATTGTTCAAACAACACAGAAGATTATATTCTTCCGGAATAAATAAAGGGCAGTAAGACGGTTTTCTAAAATAAAGCAACGTATGAAACACAAACACAGATGTGCCCCAGACAACACTGCAAGGACCCTCAAAGCATTTTCTCTCTTTAAAGTTTTCCCCTTCCATATTGTTACTGAATTTTATCCTTCAGAATATGAATGGGGAGTAAAGCTGCTACTGTGCACTGCACTCCCCACTGACAAACGTATAAATGATTCACAGCTGCATTCAGGAGACAGATCAATTAATCGTTGCAGCTCTCCAGTATTTATATTGGGCATCATTCAAGCAAGCCAGCTCTGAATCGATTACTCATCGCTTCCAACAGCAGTAGATCCTGTACTTCATTTATACGATTATCTTTGTTGAGAACAGCATGGGTCATCCAGTATGAAGGACCCTTGCTTCAAAGAATAGTTGTATTTCATCGGACAGGGTACCAAACTTCCCTGGACCCTGGGAAAGAGGCAACTATGCATTGTTGGGCTGAGCAGAGTGCATAACCATGCCTGGAGCACTGTGTGGGAACGGGGCCTCAGCTCACAGCTGGTGATGTATCCAGGAGATCACGTAAATATGAGTAGATTGTTGCATGGGGATTGCAGAGGGCAAATCATTTACAGACGATGTGGGCCTACACCTCACTTTTTCCGTGCCACCCCCCCCCACCCGCAGCCTTTCCCAGACTCTGTTGGCTTCGCCTACAGTTTGGTTTCAAGAGGCAATGCAAGGTCAAGACCCTGCCTTGCAAAAGCAGGAGGGAAGGGAGGCTTTGCTGAGCCAGAGGAGGGCTGCCCTGTCGGGTGTGCTGTGCCTACCCAATGATGGAGAGCCACCCCTGCGCCCCACAAGCAGAGAGCACCCTGGTGGACTCTGCTGAGAGAGAAGCTTCGCCCTGAACATAGTCAGCAGTATGAAAGAAGCAGACTAAAGGCTTATTTAAAACTCTCCGACAGTTTATAACCTGACTGGCAAAACACAATTTGCTCCAGCTGGAGTCTGCACAGGGCATGGCAGGCAGAGAGAGGTACATGTTGGAGAAGGGGGTAAGAGAGGAGCGTCATCTAATACATCATCTTTCCTACAGCAATCCTTTCCTGATTAAACATTTTACCCGTTTGTAAGCCACAGTTTAGGGGTAAACTGTTCACCGTGCTCAGGCAGGGCTCAGTCCCACACTCTGGAGCCGCAAGAGGAGGCCAAGAAACACTCAGATCCAGCCAGCCTGGCCCTCTGAGAAGAGGGAAGGTGCCATGCCCGCCAGCCCGTGGTCCCCACACTGTACCTGTGCTTCCGACAGCATGACGTCCTTGATCACTGGCTGCCCCCGGGGCTCGTTGTTTTCCAGCTTCACGTATGTAACCTGGTACCCGCGGATCTGCCCGTGCTGCTTGTTGGAGATGGGGAGCTTCCAGCTCACCCGGATGGCAGTTGAATTCACAGACTCTACCTCCACCTTTCGCGGTGGGGCACTGGGCACTGTAACACACACAGGACGGACAGTTAGCAGGTACTACACAACCGCCGTCAGCTACGTCTCAGTCCTTTGCTATCTTCCCTCCACCTCATTGCAAGGATGGCCCTGCTGGTTCCCTGTACCTGCCCAGGAGGTCATACTGCGGTTTTCCAGCATGACCATATCCCTGACCCTTTCCCAGCATCCAAATATTTTTGCTACTTTCAGTAGGAAAGAGCATGACTGTGACATGCAGGAGCACCCCTAACAAAAGCCACTGTGCTGGACCAGACCCAAGGTCCATCTATCCCTCTCCTGTCTCCAGCAGTAGGGGAGCAAGGAATAATACAAGAATATAGCAGAATATAAAGAATATGGTAACCACCTGCAGCTCAGGGTGCCCTGCGGCAGATGCAGGAGTTTTGAAGCCTTCTTTGTATCCTGCCTGTCACAGCAGCTCCTGTCAGATCCCTCTGCGTACATCTAAACACAGTCCAAGAGCCCCAGGTAGCGTGACTGGGCACCAAGCTTGCCTTGCCGGGAGCCCTGGTACCTGCCACCAGCCAGAATGCACACGCACTCTTCCCCTGTGACAGCAAGAGGTTAATGAGGGGGAAAAGCACCATCCTAAAACAATAACCCAGAGCTCAGAGACAGCAGTCACTGAACTCGGCCAGATAAAGGGGCCCATGGGGATTGTGACAGCTCTGGGGACTGTATTTCATGCATGGCTAGCTGAATGCTTTTTGATAATAAAATGAAAAATTACATTGCCCAGAAAATATCAATTTTCTTGCAAGGTGAGGCCCGTTTAAAAATGTATTTATACCCTATTTACCATTTGGAAAAATTACCTCCTCATTACTTTTTGCTCTTGCATTGACTGTGACAAAAATGTCAATGCTAAAAAATTAGCCTCTCAGTTGCTCCTGGAAAGCTCCTCCCAGGTGAAGCAGCTGGGAGCAGAGACATGCACTCCCTGTGGAGGATACCACTGCTGCAGAGTGCCCAGTACCCAAGTGAAGGTCCTGGGCTCCATCCTAGCACCTTTACTGCAGGACGACTGCCTGGGAAAATCCAGGGGTTTGGGACCCTGTATGCCCCAATTCTCAACACAGCAAGAAATAATCAGTATTAGATAATTAGGGATGGATAGCTGACAAGCAGACATAATGAATATTGCTATTTCAACCAACTAGATGGGAAGAAACAGCTACCCAGCAGGTAAACACAGTTTTTAAGCCGCAGGGCAATTCATTATTTTCCCCAGATGTCCTTCTTAATTGTAGATAATTAAATAAAATAGAGAAAGGAGGAATGGAGCGTTTTAGCACCATGAGGCCAGCTCAAGGTATGGGAATGGAGGGGGCTGTGCTTGAATAGTTACCACCTTCTGGCTGGAGCAGCCTACGCTGTAATCCACAATTCACTTAGTGCAGTGACCTTGCACAAGCCACAGGGCTCTCCTGCCCTAGCAAGACACCTGCCCACACACACAGTTGGGAGTCCAAGCGAAAAACAAGATCCTCCCTGAGAACCAGACGGAAGCTGTGTGTCAAGCTCTGCTGGCAAGAGAAGGCGGGAAGCCTCAGCAGGACACAATACGGGGATGTCGCGGGGACATGAAAAGCTGTGAATGTGAACAGACCACAGTGTTTCGAGGAATGCTATCCTATCCCATTATGGGAAGTATGTGCTGCGTCTGAGACAAACAGGGGAAGTTCAATTTGTTCTCAGATCACAGTTTAGCATTTTTCACTCCTTCATCATGGCTATCTACTGAGCATCAGCATGTCGGACGGATATGAAATCACTCCTGACAGCTGAGCTGGAATGTCCAACCATGGTGTCCGAAAACTAACTGAGAGAGCTTGTTGCGACATTTCTGGGGTAGCAGCTTCCCCTGGGCTACAACTCTGCTGAATGAGAACTGAAGCAAACAATACAGGCAGCAGGACACACACAGATGTGTGTGCCAGCCCAGGAATGCAGTCAGCAAGCATTCCCAGACACCACTTCCAGAGCCACAGAGACGTGGGGGACAGCAGCAGCCCATTTAGGGAAACTAACGTGTCTGGTTTCAATTTGCTACGCTGTCTGGACAATGCAGACATGACCCTTTCTTTGCCTGGATGCTGCCTCTCTTTCTTCTTCCATTAAATCTGCAGCTTCTGGGGTCAGCATGAAGTCATGGAAGCTCCTGCTGTCACCCTGAGCTCTGGCACTTTCAAAGGAAATGGCCTAAGTCATGATGACATAACTGACAGCCCTGCTAATACAAAGCAATTTCTCTTTAAAGCTGTCGTATCCAGTAAAGTGTTCTGTACATGCAATATTCTGACTCTTGAGCAGAAGAGCAGATTTATATAAGCTATGGCTTGCCTGGAAGCCGGGGCAGGAAGCAGCTTTCCTGCGATATCTACAAGTTTCAAATGGATTTCTTTTCCCCTCTTTAGTTCGCTGGATTTCAGGTCAACAAGTAAACTTTAAGTCCTGATCTCACAATGTGAGAGAAACCTTCGGCTGGGAGAACTCACATTACCTTCGGTAAAATAGAAACAACCATTATCAAACACTAGAAAGCCAAAATGGCAAAGCAGTGTAATGCCTCCTTATGTGCACTGGAAGCACTGCTAGCACACACAGGACCCTCGTGGGACCATGCTGGGACATCAGACCCATAGCCTGGAGGCAACCATTGTATCAGAGCACGGGTCAAGAGAGCAATTCCCCTATCCCACTCCAGGGCAACCATGGAGACCCACTCCCTGGAGCAGCTGACCAAAGCACTGCTCCTGACAGCCTCTGGGCCTGCTTGAAAAGCACTCCCAGGACAATATCCCCGCTCCCTTCCCCCCAACTTTTCCAGAAACTCAGCTAGGAGAGTCCTGGTTACCCCAAGGCAGTAGCTAAAGGAGCTGTTCAGTAACACCTACCATCCTCGTCAGTGCGCACGTGCACAGGGATGCTCTCCGGTCCTGGCCCCACATCCGTGTGAGCCCTTACCCACACCTTGTACTCGGTCCATTTCTCCAGGTCCTTGATCTCCCAGCTGGAGTGCTCCCGTCCAATGCCATCCACCACATGCTTGGTGTTGTCATCTCCTTCCACTGCCTGGTACGCAATGGAGTACTGGGTGATGACCCCATTGCGGCTCTGGGCAGGTGGTGGCACCCAACTTACCCGGATGGTAGTGGAGCTGGTGCTTACACACTCGACTTCTTGGGGTGGGGCGGAGGGGGCTGGGGATAAATAAATGAAGTGGGGAGATGAAGGGAAATGAGTGGAAGGACAAACCAAAATGCACAGGGAACTTTTACCCAGCCAACTGAACACTGAACATAACACATGGAAATTCAGCCAGTAGCTTCCTGGACAACTGCCTGCCTTCCTCGCAGATCAAAGATGGCACTAGGGGCAATTTGTGTTTGAAAGCCTAATGAACAGCACAGAGACAGAAGCACTGTTCTGCATCACAGAACAACTCTTCCCAAAGCAGTTCTGGACACTCACTTTACCAAACACAACAAATGGCAGTAAAGGAAGGGGCGGGAGGGAGAGAGAGACTAGTAGGGAGAAGAAAGATGCTTTCAGTGAAGATCTGAAGCAGATGGAAACCAGAAGAGGCAGGAAGCTGCAGAAGGCAAGAGTGGCAGAAGGGGAAGCTCACACACCAGATTGCATGAAGGCTTGCAAAAACCCGCTCCTAGACAAGCGGAGGAAACAACAGAGGGCACGGAAAGCAGGTGACTGAGGGTGGCTGGAGTATGTCCAGGCAGGGTTTGAAATCACGACCATCAGCTGTGAGCAGCACCCTGACCCAGGTGGGAGCCAGGCACCATGTGGAAACAGGAGATAACATGATTGTGCTGCTTTGCATGTGTTCCTAGTACCTGGGACTGACTGCTTCATGCCTGCAAACTGGTTACCTGACTCAGTAGCTCACTTGCCTGTGGAGCTCTACAGGGGAAGGTAGGCAGGTCTTGTCCCCTGCCACGCAAAGAAACACCTGCAGTTTGTGTTAACTTCCAAGCCCCAGCAATGTTAACTGGCCACAGCAGGAGGAATGGGATCTAGGCAGCAGATGCTTCTCATCGGGGTGAGGAACAGTTCCCGCCACACAGCACTGCTGGGGAAGAGCAGTGAAACAAATCTTGGGGTAGGGAAGAGAGGGACCAGGAAAGGAGAGGTGACCAAGGGCTGTGGCAACCTTGGAACAGGACAGCAGTTCTGCAAGGCAGGAGAAGGGAACGAAGCAGATGAGTGCCCTGGAGATGCTCTGCTTCATCCAGGACCCTGGCAGCATGGGAGCCCTCTCGCAGCAGCAGCGGCAGCAGCAGCCTCCTCTCATTTGGCCTCACTGCCCAGGGATGCTGCAGACATACAGAGTACATGGTATCTTGCTTTGCCACCGCAGGTGAAAGGCCACTTCCATTCTTCACTGCAACCATAAACCTAAAAACGCCTGAAAAAAACCCGATGCCCTTCCCGATGCCCCAGTCCTTGAAGCCATTAATGCACCAGAGCCAGGCTGCCAGAGGCACAGACTCCAGCCTGCCTGCTCATTGCACGTGCAAAGACAAACACAACCTACATTACCCTCCCCCAGCAGGGACTTCAGATAAAGCACCCAACAACTGTGCCTTGGCTTTGCTGGGCACAGGATGGCAGTGGGAGAAGATTTGGGAAAGCTGGGGACAGCAAGGCCTCACAATGCCACTGGTGACCTCTGCTTGCTGGGGACAAGGCCTACTGGCTTGCAGAGGCAGTCACAGCCTGCATGTAACTCCTAGTACCCGCTTCTGTGTGCGGGGAGCAAGGCCTGTCCCTGATGCCTGCGTTGGAGTGGCTGGAGAGAGCAAAGATGGAGGGAGAGCAGGCAGTGATGGAGCTGGAAAAGATGACGCCCAAGCAGAGTCGAGCTGCTGCTATGGGAGCTACACTGGAGGAAAGAGAAGTCAAAGCAGTGCGTGGAAGCAATCACTTGCCTATGTGAGGGAGGCAGAGCGGGAACGGCCCTGCCATCTGGTATATCGGAAGGGAGTAGGGGTAGAAAATGAATCCTCACACTCTTTTGGTTAATCAGCAGAGAAGTGGCAGGGAAGAGTAGGAAGATATAGCACCAAAGCAACACCAAGAGTGAATTCAAGGAGGGCATAAGGTAGACACAGTGCGTGATGGCATCCCTCAGAGGGGACAGGTGAGACATAAGGAGGTTTGCATGCCTTTCCTTTGCCACTGTCTGCAGAGAGGCCCTTCACAGAAGAGACTTGCTCTGGCTTTGGGCCTCCATAGCATCCCTTGGGATGCAGCAGTGAGCTCCTTCTCCAAAGGCAGCTTTGGCTGGCAGCGTGGGCAGGTCAAATGTTGGCTGTTGACTGGGTAAGAGTCACACACACAATGTGCAAGGCAAAAACTCAGATTAACACTTAAAGAAAGCAAAAGAACTTGGTAACATGAGCAGGATCAAATTAAAATGCACAAGGAGTGGAAGTGTCTCTCCTGGGGCCAGCAAGAGCAGACTAGGTGGCCAGCATGCACCCACACACACAGATGTACCCACACGCACACTGTGCAATCCTCTGCTGCCTCCAGGCTACTCACACCAGCCTCCCCGAAAGCCCACAGCAGCCTTGTGCACCCATCCAGCTCACCTACTCCCTAAGCTGGGGAAAAGGCAGCCTCAAGACCCACCTTCATATTTCAAGTGAGAATAGCATTTTAATGCTGAGGCCTGATGGGCACAGAGCTGATGCTCCTCTCCTGCATCATACTGCTTGCCTTGAGGCACTGCAGACTCCTGGAAAACCCCCCTGTGCTCCTCAGGCCCTCAAAGCAGCATTGCTTGTACTTTTTGCAGGGTAACCAGCAACTAAGCAAGCAGCTTAGCACAGAAGACAGCCCAGAAGGCAGCTGCCTTCTCAGGAGATGGGGTCTGAGCTGTGCTGCTGGAAGGGTGCAAAGGGGCACTGCATCCCTCTGGCCTTTGTGGATAAGCACCCCTACCACGCCTGAGCAGGGATGCCACAAGAAAAGCCCAGTGGCAGCAAAACAAATGCCCTTCTCCAGCCCATCAGTGACTCATTAGCGATGATATGCTTCCAACCTTACCCTTGACTGGTTGGTTAGGACCAGGAATATAGCCTGAAGACAGGCTCTTTGGAAAGCAGGAGTCTGTCTGCTCCTGCAGTTTGTGTTCCACCTGAACATGCCAACCTCTGAGATCTAACAGCCTTTCCCAAGGCAACCAGATGGAAGAGTGCAGGAAGGAGACCAATTTGAAGCTGTGAGCAACAGTCTTTCTAGATTAGTTCTAAGGCCACAGGGGACTGATGCCACCATCTAACGTGAGGTGTTGCTAAGTGCAGACCAAAGAATTTCTGCCTGGAAGTTGTGCATTGTGCACACAACTTCTGTCAAGCTAAAGCAGAGCTTTCTGAAAGATCTACTTGACTTTGAGACCTGCAGTACCCAAGAATCCACCCTGTCCTGGGACTGTTCAGCCAGTGGTTTGTCACCCTCACTGAATAGCCCAGCAGTAACTGCCAAGGACTTTTCTCACAGAATAGAGCACCATCAGAAATCTTCTCAAGTAGGGGCATGGTAAAACAAGACCCAGTCACTTGGATAAATCAAAAAACTCTTAGGTCCCTCAACGTAAGGAGGGTTTCACTGGTCAAACCAAGGTATTCCTGTGGCTTTTGGCCAAATCTCTTCCAACCTGTCCACATCTCTCTTACTAAACAGAGGCAGAACCAGTCAGCTACTGCTCCACTGGCCAGCGAAGCGACAACCTCAAAAACAGACACCGGTACGAGATCCTCTGTGAGGGGGGAGTAGGTCATGGGAAGACATCTGCCTTGAAGAGTCCACGAAACAAAGGTTTGTCTTACTTGGACTGTTGTGAGACTCTGAAGGACTCATTTATGCATGGAGCTGTCTCTGATTAAGTGTGTTCAAGGATAAGAGCATCCACAGATGGAATTACTTTAAGTGGCAGGAGAGTTGCTTCAACCTTTGCCTATCAATACAAAAGCTATCTGAAATAGGTATACAAATCCCCACAGTCAGAATTTCTTCTCAACATTCAAATATTTATAACTGCATGATCCGAACCTCCCTCAATTTTCATACCTGTCTGTCATGCAGCACTAAGACACCATTAGCTCACTTAACGAGGTGGAGGAATTCCTGTGACTGATATGTTAATGAAGCTGAGTATTCCTCAAAGAGAAGGTCGTTCCAATAGTGAGCAGAGTTGCTCTTCTCTGCCTGAGCTCCCTTTCTAATGGCCATCTCAGGCTCTCAGCTGCTGTGCATACTGGCACCCTCCCTGCAGGGAAGGCTGGCTGGCTGCCTTTGCCAACTGCTCACCCCACATAGCTAGTAAATCCCAGACAGACGGTGCTAACGGAAATGTCTTTTTCCCCCCTTTTAATGCTCTTTGCATAATGGCAAGCCCAAAAATCGTTAGTGAAAACGAGCTTATCGCAGGGCCCTTTGATAGCCCTAATCTGCTTATGCGCAGCACTTTGAGCTGCCAATCAGAGCAAAGCAAACTCCTGCTCTGTGACCACATGGGGCAGAGCAAGGATGAAAGTGATATTGCCTGGGTCATCTCATTATCTAGCCTCTCTGTTAACTCTGCTGCAGCTTGTTCTGGTTTCCCCTAGTGCTGCAGTTCCAGTAGCAGCACATGCAATCCAGGCAAACAGTCACTTTCCCAAACTGACTCCTCCAGCTGCCTCATGGTCACAGGCACATCTGGCCTCAAAGGATGCTTCACCTTGCAATCAAGTGTATGGACCACTTAAGGACCCCTGCAGAAGCAAGGCAGCTGGAATGGGAGTAAAGGGGTGACAGTCATTTGGAGCCAAATACCCATATACTGCCTGTCCAGACAGCTTGTCTGCATGGGAGTGAATTCATAGAGATGCACAAGCCCACTCAAATCAATCTCTCCAAAGCAATTTCCCAGCCTGTTTCACTTCTCCATCA